GCCCTTTTAGATCAGATTTAACTATTCAGAATTCAAGACCTTGTCAGCATCATTTGCACTTCCTCTTCCTGTCCCTCACTGCACGGCAGCTTCCCCTCCTCCTCTGTTCCCCTTACCACCATCTTAACCCTCATCCTCCCTCCCTATTTCGGTAGCCTCCTAAACTGATCTCCTTGCCTTCTGTCTCTTCCCACCTAATCCATCTTCTGGACTCCCAGAATCATTGTTTTAAACAAGTTGAAGTAACTGTTTTCCTCATTCACTCCAAAATCTCAGCGGCCTCTGCATTGCATAGAGCACAGACCCCAAGACCTGCAAAGCCGTCTGCTCATTCTTGTGTACATTTCCAACCTCATCTTGTGTCATTACCCATCTTCCCCAACAAGCTGTGCTCTAGCTCTGCTCAGCAGCTACTGGCTCTGTAGTATAAACAGGGGAAGCTTTCCCATGGCCCAATCTCTGCACATGTGGTTCCTTCTGCTTTACTCCTCGCCTTCAGTATACGGCCACCTGGAGTCTAGCACTAGTAGTTGATTACAGCCCTGACTTTCCTGCCTTTCCAAGACCGCAAGTTAAGAGCTGAGGTCATGTCTAACTCATCTGTGTATTCCCATCACCTGAAATTACCAGGAACACAATAACTGTTCAATAAAGGAATAAATCTTTCTGGTTTTCTTCCCCAGAGTGTGGAATATTTTTGCACTGCTAAAACAAGTACTTTTACAGAACTTTCAAAGTACTGACCATAGAAATTCCAGAGTCTTACTTTCTGATTAAGAAAAACACCAGAAGTAAAATCATATACAATTTTTTTTCACAGTTTATTTTTAAAAGCATAATTTTAAATTCACTAAAATAAAAACAACACAGGATTTTGATTTTACAGTATATATATATATATTTTTGAGGCTGGACTGTATGGGAATCCGAACCCTTGACCTTGGTGTTATAACATGGTGTTCTAACCAACTGAGCTTAACTAGCCAGCTCTTGATTTTATAGTTTTGACCCAAGATTAAAACTTAGCTCTCTTTGATATTTATTTATACCAAGGTGCTTCTGAGCTGGTAGTGTCCCTGTGAGAACCCAGGAGTTTTGCCCAGATGAGAGAACGAAGTGCTTGCTCTTGGACGAGGGCCCCCGTTCAGATGAGGGTTGCTAAGGCTACATTCAGCATGCATCAGGCAACACCCTGGAAACCAGAGAGCCATGCAACCTAGGTTTAAAAAAAAAAAAATGCCACAGAGGACAATGGGGCTGGGTGAGAAGGTAGGCTAAGCAGCCAGCCTTAGAGCACACATACACAAAAAAAAAACCCCATAGTTATGAATTTATTTCAACAAACGGATGAATGTGTTGAAATTTGTTCATCGTTAGGGTAAAGTTCTTAAGACTTGTTCCTTATGTGATGGTAAAATATACTGGGCTGTCTTATCAACTACAGGCTTTGAAGAAGTAGTCTTAACTTTAGGAAAGTGTTGAAGGGGTGGTTAGAATACAGAGCCCCCCCGTTCTACTGTCCTGGTTGGAAAAGGGTTTTTTTTTAGGATTTTTCTCCAGTATATAAAGGTTCACTATTTATTCACTCATCAATATTTATTTGTTGCCTAATACATGCCAGTTTCTGTACCAGTTGCTGGGACACAGCTATTGAATGAAAACAAAGTCTCTGCTCTGGAAGCTTTTATTCCACTGGGGGAGACAGAAAAAACCAAATATGCCAGCTGGTGGTGAGTGCTATGAAGAAAATATCATGGGGGAGTAGACTGCTCCTTTGCAGAAGTTGCCAGATAAGCAACATTCAAGTGGAGACCTGGAGATGAGGGATTGGCAATACAGATAGCCGTGGAAAGAGCATTCCCAAGGCAGAGGGATTGGCAAGTACAAAGGCCCTGTGATGGAAGAGGGCTTGGGATGTTCAAGGAATGAGAAGGCTCATTTGGATGAAGGCAGAGTGAGGAAGGGAGCATATAGTGGAAGAGAAGATAGCAGTGGGGCCAGAACACAGGGTGCCTCGTAAGCCAATGTAAAGAACTTGACTTTTGGGCCGGCCCGGTGGCGCACTGGAGAGTGCGCCACTTGAGAGCGCGGCAGCGCTCCCGTGGAGGGTTCGGATCCCATGTGGAGACCGGTTCCCGCTCACTGGCTGAGCGCGGTGCGGGCGCGACACCGAGGGTTGCGATCCCGTTGCCAGTCCCCGGTACGGGTGCGACACCGAGGGTTGCAATCCCGTTACCGGTCAGTAAAAAAGACAAAAAGGAAAAAAAAAAAAAAGAACTTGACTTTTACTGAGCAAGACAGGAAGCCGTGAGAGTTTTGAGTAAAGCAGTAGCACAATCTCATATTTTGAAAGGATCACCCTGGCTGCTCTGTTGAGAATTGACTGTAGGGAAGGCATGGAAGCAGGACACCAGTTAGGAGGCTGTCACAACAGTCCGAGTGAGAGATAATGGTGTTTTGAACTAGAGTGTCCCTGCAGTGGGAAGAGGTTGGATGCTGGGTATATAGAAGCCAACAGGACTTCCTGGTT